TCGAGCAAGCGTAAACAGTTCGTTCAGAATTCTGCTAAATCACCCGTTCACAGTTTGAATTTGTTTCACAAAGTATTACGACTAGAATTTCAAAACTTAACTTACGTAAGCACGCGGTTATATGATCTTGTTGTTTTAGTTGTTTTAAATCTAGCCGCTTATATGAATTATTACATGGGAATAGCCCATAACGCCACAACCACATGAAAGATGCTGACAATTGTATGCATTTGATTTTTTAAATTTATTTTCCCAAAGCAAAGACTAAGCCTCTCCGCCGATCATCCAAGTTTTATTTTATCGATAAATGACATCAATTTGATCTTGGACTGTCCACTTGCTCCCTACTTCAATCAATTAAACAGTAATTTAAATTCTATCATTTGTGTCCAGCCGTGCCTATTTAGAATCTCACAATGGTTCGTCAAACTGTGCTCAGTTGCTGGAAATGGAAATGGACGCGGAAAGTGCTTTGGTACGAGGTATTTTTATTTTCCGCCGTAAATTATGCCAGTCATCCTACCTGCCTCAACTATAAAAAAAGCCAGTTCCTCGAGGGCCCTCGACCATATCAAGCAGCGTTTTTTCCACCGTTATACCCTTTCGCTATTCCAGTCTAACTACAATTTTTGTTATCATTAGAATGTTGACAAAGTTCCTTGGGAAACGGTTGACGTCATCCTGGTTTCTTACGCACTCAGTCTGGTGCTGTTGCCCTACCTGACCGAGTGCATGGGTTTCCGAGGCCGTGTCCTGGCTACAGCACCCATCGTAAAAATGGGCAAGTAAGTCAAAATAGGCTATTTACACAGATCTTGAGCCTGATGACGTCTTCCTTCAGTTTATAAAATAAACTACATCAAGCGTGCCGATATTTATAAATAGAGTTTGTCTTATTCGTTCACATGTAAACACGTCGTTTCTTTGTTTCAATTCAAGTTTCCCCTGTTACTATTTGATAACTATTTGTCGCTACTCATTGAATCCTGCTCGCAGCCTAAGGAATCTCTTATATTCTTGAATTATACAGTCCTTTTGAAAAAAATGGAACTCATTAATTTATCATTCGAACACCCAAATCGAAGTTGTCTCATCTCTTTGCCCTTGTATTACCTTCCAGAGTTATTATTGAGGATGTTCTCAAAGAGGCTGAACACATTACTCAAAGATCCACCGATTCAAAGCTGACAACCACTAATTGGTAGGACTATTTATGAATTAGTGTATACTAATGCGAATTTTTTGGTTTAAATCCGCGTAATCAGTTATGTCCTTCAAACACAGTCATCCACCAATTGATGAGCTTTTGCGCAATTGTCTGCTCAATTATACGTCTGATCAGGCGACTGCGGCCCTTTCGAAGATTCAGACTGTTGCTTATCAGGAAACCGTGGTGAGTTTGGGTGCGCTAGTGTAAAATCAACTTTATTTTTTAATCACCATATTCTCATCCAAATTTTTTCGCTCTTTAGGACATATTTGGGCTTCTAAAAATAAAATGCATCAGCTCAGGTGCCGATATCGGCGCTTGCCACTGGGTGCTTAAATCGCCCTCTGAGAAGGTAATACATTTTTTTGTATCTATCGTTTATATTGTTGTTTTAAGATGTAGCTTTTATTAAGTGATATGTTGAATGTTAACTCCAGCGTATATAGCGATAGGACTCGCATTTCGGTTTGCTTATATAAAAATTAATGGAGCTGTTCGAGTTGTCGATGTCTTATCTAAATTTGATTAAAAGTGCTCTGACATTTTTATTTTAGATCTTATATCTCTCACGGGGGTCTGTGTATTCGACGTTTGCAATGGTAAGTATCCTCCAATCAAGTTCTTTAATCTACTGCACAAATTTAAACTAAATCTTAGAAACCACCCGTTGTAAGTTTGTCAATTTCCAGTGCTTGACCATTCAATCAGTATCCACTTATTGCCACTCACATGCCGATATAAGTCGTTGCTCAGGTCTAGGACACATTCCTTTACATTTTTGAACATATATACTGGCTTTGCCTTCATCTTGCGTTTTTTCTGTCATCGCTCGTCCGCTTATTTGATGACAAAACGAACGCTTCTGCATCCTCCTCTTCCAGCCTATGGATTTTTCCGAGTTTTCGGAGGTTGACGTTCTCATCGTGGGATCTTTGAACACAAGTCAATGTCTGCCTTTCGAACAGGCGCTGGAAAACGTCTGCACTGTTACTGGTACGTGTTTGCCCTCCACCCTCAAACCTCATTTGAAATCTCATGCATGCAGGTGGTGCACAGCCTACAATCGAGGCCAAACAGATTATTACCTTTAATTATACTATTAGCCGTACTACTACCACTACTAATACTGGAAGTAGGCAGACAGTATTGCCCGCAAAGACACGAGAGACTGGCATGGCCATTTCTGGCTCATAAGCCGTCGTCAGCCAGTCATACCCAGACTCAAGTGGTTTCCCTCTCGAGCCTCGAACTCGCGACCTTTTCGACCAGAGCCGACCGCCCTAGCCATTGAGCCACGACCTCGTTGTCTCGCCGGTTTAGGTCAGGGGGTTATTGACACTTATTGATGAACGTTCACCTGATCGCTAACGGAACTCATTTGACTCTGATCAGAAAGTTTTCAAGTTCAAACTTCGACTGGTGCGCCACTTGGGGTTGGGTATGACTGGCTGATGACGGCTAATAAGCAAGAAGTGGCCATTCCAGTCTCCCTTGTGTTTAACGGCAATACAATCTGCCTACTTCCAGCTGTTACAGCTGTCAGGGCCTCTGTCGAGACCCAAGGCAGAGCGGGTGAACGTTCATAAATGACTACTAATACTGTTCGTAATGCC